TAGGGAACTTCAGATGAAGTTGTAGATTGCTCCCATGGCAAGCAACTCTGGGAACTGTGTAAAGAGAAGTATGAACCATTGTGGCTCAAAGGAGGCAACCACTGTGATTTGGAGCTCTTCCCTGAGTATATCAGGCATCTGAAGAAGTTCATAACAACAGTTGAGAAATCTCCATCGCAACGATACAGTTTCCGGCGGAGCACTGATCAGTTTGATCAGCCTCGAAAGAGTACGGATGTTTTCGATGTAAGTAGAAAGAGCACTGATCGAAGAGAAAAGCCTAGGAAGAGCACAGACAGGCCAGAAAAGCTGAAAAATTTGTCTAATAATGCTGATATGTTAGAGAAGTTGAGAATGACTTTTGATCACAAGGAAAGGTCTCGGAGAAGTGTTGATTGCTATGAGAAATCTCGAAAAAGCATTGATCATCAATTAGAAAAAGGAAGGAAGAGTGTTGACCGGCTGGACAGAATAAGGAGTGGATAATAATTCTTCTTATAATGAAATTATGTTCATGCATGGGTTGGTTTTATGGGGTTCTTTTTCTTTTTTATATTGGTCATATGGTTGTGTAGTATGGCTTATGCCAGATATGATAACTATTAGCATTGAAGAAAAGGTTTGGTGTTACCGTGGGATTCACTTTTCATTCACATGGTATGGCATCTTTACCTCTCTTGCTCTCCCACCTTGTGCGCAAGTCAGCACATTGATATCTTCTAAAACATTTGTCATTAAATTATTTTATCAAAAGATACAGAAAATTATTAAATTTATTTTTTCATTTATTATTTTAGTTTTTGGCAAGAACCACTGGGATCAATTTTAAAACTTTAAAAAGCTAATATAATAAAAAAAAAAATTAAGGCTAATGAAATAACTAAATAATATCCAGGGCAAAATTATGTTGTCTGAGCATTTTGTACTTTGGCTGCACAATAGGCGGAATTTTGGAAACTTTCATTTGTATGATTGATGCATGATTTTTTTTTTTAACATACCTCATTTATTTTTGTGTTTGTCACTTGACAACATTGTACTATAATCAGGATACAAATTTCTTCGCAAGTTTATATTTTCAAAGTCAAATGAATGAAGAACCGAGTCTTGTAAGATACATTTTCTAATACTTTAATTTGTAACCTTATAAGACAAAATCCTTCCAACTAGATGAAGCATTGACCAATGAAGCTTATGAGTCTATCTGATGGTGTGTTGCAGGATGCGTCATTCTTTAACAAAAGTTAGACTATATTCAATCTATTTGTTGTTATATTGTTAAAGATATTATTAGCTCAACAAGATGTGTCTTATTCACGTAAGTTTAATTGTTATTATTATAATTTAAAGTTGGAGTTTCTAAGGCTTATTACGAATTATAAGTCGTGGTGTTTTTTGCTATAAGAATGAGGATAAAAGTCTAACTATTATTACTTTTTTTCTTAGACACTAGTTATATTTAAGAAGTTTTGACAGGGGGTAAAATCAGAGGGGGAATTAAAAAGGAAGTAAGGAACTATATGTATATATATATATTAATCCCAGAAGGGGCAGTTCTACATCATACAAAATCAGGAAGCAATTGCTCCATATAGGGGATTACAAAATTGGATGACTTAATACATGCTCAAAATTGGTAAGTGCAATCAGTGGATAGATTCAAATCTCTTTGCTGTATTTCAGCCTGTTGCATGTGTTGAAATATAACTTGCTATGAACTTCGAGTAAGAGTTAGATTCCTATGAGAACAGCTACCAACCTTTTGAGAGTATGTGATGACCTTCTATCTTTGTAGATGTGGTCTTCGTTGACGTGTGATTTTCAAAAAGAAATGCATCTAAAGTCTGCTTTGTGCAATTCTACAAATTAAAATTGTAACAGTAAATAGAATTTATTCAAAGGAAATGTTTAGACAAAACACTTTCTGAAGATAAAGATAGAAAGAAAAGATGAAATAAGTTTCTTTGTAAGTTAAAAATTAACCTTTAAAGAAGCTAATATGAAATGATTTCTATAAATTAATTTATGTATGAGTTAATTTTAACTTTTGAAAAGTTTTATTTTGTTTTTTTCTTTCCTAAAATTGTTTAGAGAAAAATTTATCCATATAGACTTTTATTTCTTAACATGAAATACTACTGCTTCCCTGAGCTTATAATGAAGAGTATACCTGGGTTTTTCATTGCTGATTTCAACTATGGCTGATGGTGGAAGGCGACCTGCGCTGATTGCATGAACTGCTGAGAAGAGAGGAAACATGTGTACGCATCCTCGATCACTTAGAACCTCATGAACCTCTAGTGCAGTTAAGACACCCTTCGTGGAAGAAAAAGGGATCAATAAGGACACAGGAATATGTAACACTAAACACTTATTATATTCTAGATGTAGAAGAATCTGGTTAATGTCTCGTGCACGAATCATTTGGTATAATGCTCTTTTCTTTTACTTTGTTGTCCGAAGAGCTTTGAATGAATATGGAAATCTACACTCAGTTTTGATTGTTTAACTTGTTATGCCAGATTTTGTTAAAAGACCTTCTACTTTGCTACTTTTCATCCAGAGTAAATTATTCTGACACTCTAAAGTTTCATGAAATTGCATATATTTCCTTGTTTTTATAAGGTTTACAGTAAGATTCCTTTGGGAAGTCACAGTACAAACAATTAAGAGGAATTAATGTAATGTCCAAGTTACACAATAGGGGGTTAGTGTAAGGGCATAACAGGTTTATGTGCAATGTCACATAATTTTGAAGGGTGTTTGTGTAATTTATTCTTTCATATTTATCAAAATTATTTAGATATTTATGCACATTCAAAATGTGTGTCTCGGAATATCTAGTAGTTTGGCATAGTAAGTTTCATGTATGTACCTGCAATTTCTGGCCATTAAGCAACTCTGCTTCAAGCTCATCAAAAGATCTCTTCCCTCCATATCTGGCATAAGCCTCACCAACTTTCCTATTTCTTCCACCCACTGCCACAAATGACATGGTTTTTATTTTTAATGAATCCAAGATAAAAAAAATGAAAAATAAGGTGAAGTCAATCAGTGTCCTTACAGCATGTTGTGATAAGGTCAGCTACACCACAGCTCTCAAAGTAGGTGCTTTCCTTAACAGATGGAAACAACATCTTTGAAAATACCATCATCTCATTCAGACCAATTCTCATGATTGCAGCCTACACATATTTACAGAATAAGAAAATTAACCAACAATAGGAACCAAAGGGAGGGGGAAGCAACTTTTCTCAACATCAAATCCTTTAGACTTACTTTTGTATTATTTCCCATCTCCAAGCCATCAACAAAACCTGTCCCATTGCATGCAATTTCTTGATCATTCACAGAATCTATAAAGGAAAACAACAAACTGCAGAAGCTATATTACAAACCTGCAGCTATGGCCACTACATTTTTCAGGGTTCCACACAGTTCCACCCCTTCAACATCCTGGACCTATAAAATCATAATGAAAAAATCATAAGCATAAAGAGTACCTCAATACTTACCAATTACCAATTTAAAATTACTTAAGATTATAAGGGAAAACCAATAAAAGAAGAAGAAGAAAGAAATGATCATTATTGTGTATGATTCTGCCATGACAATATTTCTTGTCATTACTGATTACTGATTACAATAAGCAACTTGCTATGGATTTAGCTATATTTTTTTTTCCATTAAGGACTATTTGTTCAAGTTTTTCACAAGTTTATTGCTTATCAAGAAAGAATGTAGTACTAAACTCACATCTGTCACAATGAAATAAGGAGTTCTAAACAACTGAACCCATCTCTCTGCTGCTTCTTTGTTTTTACTATATCCAACTGTTGCTTCACTAAATTTCTCCATGGCTATCTGTTCAAGCAGTATACATAAAAGCAGAAAATAAATTAATTATATACTTGCCTAAGTAATTTCATTAAACAAAGGTGTAATAAGATTAGTCATCGACGAATGAATATTTCATTTCAATAACATAATTATTAAAAAGAAAAGTTATAGTATCCTCTCACTACCTCATTTGCTATGTTGGCCCCCATTAAAACAGAACAATTGATTCCTAGTCTTTTGGAAATGAGAGTAGAGATCATGCATGGGCCTTCCTTCTTGACTTCCATCCCTTTGATAAGAGAAATCCCCTCTGCGTCTGGTCTTATTTTCCCAGCAAGCCTTTTGCATATTCCTTCCATGAATTGATGTGGAGTTACAAACACTAGCATGTTGGCATCCTTCACTGCATAATCAACCATTCAGAAAAGGCAACAACTGTTAATACTTGTAAAGTAGAAACACTGAAAACAAAATTTGAAAAAAAAAAGTGAACAATTTGATTAGTACCTGCATTTTCAAGGTCTGGATCTGCGACTACATTTTTGCCAAGCTTGATTCCAGGGAGATACTTGACATTTTCCTGCCAAAAAGAATAGTAAATTCTTAATATTGATTGAAAAAATATTGCATACACAATGAGTGAAATGCATGACTAGCCCTTACATTGGTTTTGTTGATAACATCTGTGAGCTTCTCCCCACTTGGTAATTTTTCCTCGAATACCCACATCCTCACTTCATCTGATTTCATTCGAGAGTTCATCAAATGAAATGGAAAAATTAACATTAAAATGAAAAATTTATTTGCTCACTGATGGGGCTGTGTATATACTCCTTTGGCAAGTAAAATTCACACAACCATTTTATCATTTGTGTCTCTAGCAGAACAACTTGGCACATCAAATTACAAAATTGAAAATCACTCTACCCAAAAGATACATAATTAGTAAAGAACACTCATTCACTATTTATGCTGTTGTGCAAATTGCATGCATGGGCAGAACAAGAGACTTGGAAGAAAGCTTCAGAGAAAACAAAAGTAGCTTTAAGTATGCTTATAGTCTATGAAAATATGACCTATTTTAGCTTTAAAGTCTCTTTAAAATTTAAAGATTTTTAGTTCTTATATTTCCTATGTTTAAAAAAAGCTACGAAAATAATGAATTGATTTTTTGATCTATCACCAGTTACTAGAATTTTTAATTAGACAAACTTTAGGGGTCCCTCAGCTTGTATTTTTATTTTTGTATTTTCACATTTTAATTACAAAACTATGAACCACCTTATTTTCAAAGGCTTATTTCGATTTATTTTTATTTGGATAAAACTCATATACAATCCTTTAGTTCATATTATGCATTTGTATTTAATATAAATCTCAATCATATACATTTACGCATAATATCAAGTTAAAACTTTAATTCTGGTTAGAGAACGATACCAACATTACTAGAGAAATACACATGATTTTTGTTGTAAAAATCTTTAAAAACAAAATAGTTGAAAATAAGGTGATAATTCAGTTATTAAAATACGTGGAAGAAGATGGTTAAGTAAGAAATGAAATTACCATGGAAAGAGTTAAGCCTAAGGGTGTTGGAGGCAATAAGCTTTGCCGCAACACTGCCCCAATTGCCGCTACCAACAACGGTGACCTTATACATGATGACGTCGTTGTTTCGGCGCAAGGGGCAGGGAAACGACAGAGAGACAATTGCAAAGGGTGGTGGCACGGAATAGAAAACGAAGAGGCAATAGAAACACATGCAGAGAATTTAAAGCAAGGAAAATGAGATATACAATACACGTTTCCTCACAAACATTCTTCTTGCAGTTAAATGCGGTTATTCCATTCATGTTGTGCACTGGATTATGTGGTTTCTCATTATCCATCTCATTATATTCTACTTTGTTTAATTAGCTTCAACTTTGCAAATTTTGTTCGGAATGTAATTTATATAATTCTAACGCGAATTATAATGAAAAATATTCTTATCTTACGGTCTTACCTTACTTCTTATATATCTTACTTATAAGCGACCAATCTGGCCATAATTGCTATTCATGATTCACGTAATAATACATTAATTTCTACACCCAATAATTACTTCTGATAAAAATAACTAGGGTAAAAGAGATATAATGTGCCTTTCTATATTTCAAAAATAAAAAACAAAACTAAAAATAATAGATAATTGATTATTTAAGAAGTGAGAGAAGTTTGTAGAAAAAAAATGTAATTGAACACATTAGATGTGATTATAATTTATAAGGATAAAATAGTTAAAATTATGTACAAGAAAATAAAGAATTATTTTAATATATAGATATATAATTATTCTTAAAGTTTAATAAAGTCACTTTAAAAATAATCCATATAAAAATTTTATTAAATAAAATTAATTTTTTCATTAATTATATAATATTAACATATTAATATAAGAAATTGTAACCGTATCATAAAATATTAATTACAATAATTAAATTGATATAAATTAAAAAATTTATATAAAGCAGACAATATATATTTATTTCTCTCCAAAAGTTTCCACCAAAATATCTTTATATAAAATTCTTTTAAAATCAAATTAAAATTTTATTAATTACATAATAATACATTATGATAATAAATAATATTATAAAATAATAATCATATTAATTAATTTAATTAATTTATGGCGGTTAGGTTTTTCATAACCAATCCAGTCCAATGTAAATTACATAAATCGAGCTGAAAAGACTAAAAGTCAAAAAATCAAAAAAACCAAAAATTATTTATTTTTAAAATTGGATTGGATTGATCAAATTAAATTGGAATTTCTCTCTCTATATATATATCTCGTTATTACCTTTTTATTTTTTACTTAAAAATCTATTGGTTTACTTGTTTATTTTAAGGTAGTAATTTTATTATATTATTAAATATTGATAGATTATTTCAATTCGTGAATTTGTATATATATTATGAGTTATACTATTATATAT